AAGCTACGCAAGGGTGGCGGAGGACATCATCATTGCTGCAACTGCCAGGAATCCAGTTCCGACTACTACTATCCACCTTGACGACAAGGTGAATGTTTGGATGGCGGGAAATGCAAGGAATCAATATTTGAAGGAGGGGCACATTAGTCATAGCTTATTAGTAGTGTCTTGAGGAATAAGTTAGAGTTAGTTATGAGACTTTTTCTATAAATAGTCCTCATTAGGAGGAATAATGATCAGGCTGAAAATATTGTTAAGCTTTGCTTAGATTTGGAGAGTTGCTCTTCCTCTCGAATGAAGAGTGATTGTATTGTTTGATTACTCTGATCATCAATACTAATACTAATATCTCGTACTTAGCTAATTTTTCTGCTTAATCATCTTCCTAATCTCTCTCATCTGAGCTAATTCCTAGCACAATCCTTTTGAGAATGACTCAAATTACGACATTTCTTACATCTAAAATAACATTTAGATGATTAATGGTTAGACTTACCACAACTACGACAAGAATTATTTGACCTTTGATGATAATTTTGATATTGTCCACGACCTCTTCTTTTACTTTGTCCTTGTCCACGGCATTACCATGACCTCTAGGTCCTCTGCCATATTGGTGTCCTCTTTGGTTTCCTCCTCTTTTCTCTAACTATCCTAGATATTGTTTGTTTGATATGTTACGTTGAGATTGAAATGCTTGATTTACAAGTTGATCGGTATTTGCATTTCTTTTCAATTTTTGCTCATGTGATTCCAAAGATCCCATTAACTCATGCATTGTAAGAGTTGACAAGTCCTTAGACTCTTCCATTATAAATGTGGCAGAATTATATTTTTCAGTCATACTTCTCAATCCCTTTCGAACAACACTTTTTTCTTCTAATGTATCACTTAGAAATAACTATCCCGTGACCAGTGAAAAATAAACTTGGATATTTTCTATCTTTTGCACTTCAAACCTCTCCACAGATTTTGTAATCTGAGTGCAACAACTTTTTCATTTCCTAGAAATCCTTGTTTTAATGTATCCCAAGCTTCTTTAGATTTTTTCAATCCATATAAGTGGGGAAATATAGTTTTACTACGGCTGCATGAATATATCGCAATGCAAGTGCGTCTTTTTTCTTATTTTCCTTGTGTAGTTTTTGTTGTCCTTCATTAGGATATTCTGGAAGGTCTTCATAGCCTCCTTGCACAAGCTCCCATAAATCTTGGGATGTAAAGAATGTTTGCATTTGACTTCTCCAATAGTCATAATGTTCTCCGTCAAAGATAGGAAAAGTTGGTTGGGAATAAGAGAAAAATGGTATTGATGCGCTTGAGCCATGATAAAATTATTTTGGCTCTGATACCAAATTTGTTGGAGACAACGGAAGTATAATGGGTATAAGAATCGAAAATGTAGGAGATATAAATATATGTATATATGAAGTATAAAATAAATTGATAGAGATAATTAAAGATATTATATTTTGTTATTATTCATTCTTAATATTTTTTAAAAGAAAAATTATTACAACTTTTATAGAATGTTACAATCTAAAATAAGAGAGGTGATAAATTGATATTAATGTACGGCTTACAAGAAATAAACTTTTACTAACTTATTTTAAGATTTCCCTTTAATTTCTCTTTTATTGCAAATTAATCTCACAATATCTCCCATACCGAAACCCCCTAAACCTAACCCTTCACCGAACCCACGAAACCCTTCCCCCCTTGCTTTGCTTGTATTCAATTGATGAACAACCACCTGCTTCAAACAAAAAGAAAGAGGTGGTCGGAGAGAGAAAATGGGGCTACGGAGGTGCGTGAGAGAGATGTTAGTTGATTTCCGAAGGCGGGTGAGGGAGGTGTTGTGGCCGTGGCTCAAAGGTTGAATGGTGCCCGGGTTAGTGGGGTATCATTTCCGGTGATGGCTAGGTGTCGCGGTCCAATGGTGTTCGGTTGATTCCCGATTAGTAACCTGAGTATACATTGACCATGGAAGGTTGTGGTAGCTAGGTAGTGGGTACCACAACCTAGAGGTGGAAGTTTGTTTTTTTTTTTCAATGTAAGGGTGGCTAGATGTAATGGTTGTGAATTGGGTAGGAGGGTTGGATGTATTCCGACACTATACGGCAAGGGAGGGAAGCTTCAACACGGAAGTAAGAAGATGGGTTATGTTCTTTTTTTAAAATTCCTTTATTATAAAAAAGTTTTAAAAAAAATTATTAAAAATAAAATAAAATAAAAGACAACACGTGGCACTACTAGAAAACAGCTTAATTCCGACGAAAAAATTCCGTCGGAAGGTGTCGTCGGGGAAGTATTTGTAGGAAAATCGACATTTTCCGTCAGAAACCTTTTTTCGATGAAAATTCCGACGGAATTTAGCGTCGAAAGAGGTTTTTCTGGTCTGGAAAAGTCCGTCGGAAATTTTCGACGGAATCGGATTCTGTCGACGAAAATTCCGTCGGAAATTTATTTAAAAAAACAAAAAAAAAGCCCGCACCACCAACCCCCACCACCAGCTACCACCCCATACCACCAGCCCACCCAACCAGCCCCCACCGCACACCATCACACTCACACCGACACCACCCCACTGCACACCACCACTCGCACCGACACCACCCCATTGCACACCACCACACTCACACCGACACCACCACACTCGCACCGACACCACTCCACTGCACACCACCACACTCACACCGACACCACCCCACTACACACCACCACACTCACACCGACACCACCACACGCACACAATAACCCCAAAACACTAAACTTCGCAAAAAAAAAAAAAAAAAAAAAAAAACCGAAAATTTACCTCAATAATTGAAAATCAACCGAAAAATATGAAAATAAAGACAATAAAATCGAAAAATACCACACAAATAAATCAAAACCACTAGATCTACATATTTAACAAGAATTTCATAAGAATATTAAAAAAAAAACGACAATTAAACAACAAAAATTAAAGGAAACATATAATTATACAATTATCTATAAAATTGATAATTTAACATTACAATTACATAAAAAATTAACTAGTTCTACAATGTAACCTAAATTAAAACTAGATCTAATTCACGATTCTTGCGCGGTGGCTTTGCAATTCATGTTGTTGGGCATTGTCGTTGTTATTGCACGGTTGTTAGGTGGTGTTGTTGGTGGCGTTGTTGGTTGTTGTTTGTGGTGATGGTAGTGATGTTGTTGTTGGTGGTGATAGAAGAAAGAGGACATGAAAATGAAGAGGAGAGAAGAAATAATAGAAGAAATTAAAAAAAAAAAAAAGAAGGAAAGGAGGAGAGAAAGGGCGGACCGATGAGGAGGAATAGGAGGAGAGAGAAAGAGAAGGAAGGAAAAAAGGAGGGAGATGAGGAGGACCAGGAGAGAGAAAGAGAGGAAAAAAAAAAGGGGCGGATGAAAGGGGGGGATTAGGGTAAGAGGTTTAAATTTATTTTTTTTCCTCTTTTTTTTTTAAATTATAATTCCCGACGGAATTTTTTTCCGTCAGAATTGATTTTCGACGGAATATTCCGTCGGAACGTCCCATTATTCCGACAGATTTATTTTCCGTCGTAAATTTCCGACGGAATTTTTTAATTCGTCGGAAATATACGACGGAAAATAAATCCGTCGGAAATATCAATTTTTCTGACGGATTTTCAGGTCCGTCGGAACCGATCCGTCGGTATTTGCCCTGATTCTTGTAGTGTGGCAAAATACCTTCTAAACAAGTTACCAATTTCACTAATTGGTAAAAGACTCATTTTGAAAATATGGGGTATAATGGTGGAATTGTTTTCATAATACGCAAAGGTGGGGTTGTCTAGAGAAGATGAGCCAAAGGTGGGATTATTAATTTCAATTTTTCTTTTATAATATACAATAGGATATATCCACAAACTTAAAACATCAAAATAGTCATCTATGTCGCAATTTTGATTTATTAAGACTATTTAGTCATTCGTTTTGCATTTTTTGATTTATTTAGAACATAAACATGATATTCAAATCAATTTTAATTTTGGATTTTTGTTAACATTGCAAGGTAGTATATAGATTTGGCAGTTTTGTACATCTACCAAAATCTCATGCAATATTGGGCATAAACTAGAAATTGAGTTGTTATCTTGGTTTGGTTTAGCCTTTGAGAGTGAAACAAGCCACTCGAACGCTTGTGTTTTATCATTTAATTCTATAACTTCACTTAATCAGTCTTATTTACCATTTTCAGTCACTAATGTTCATTCATTAAATTGTCCTAGCTAACTCAATTCATTAATAATCATAACACTGCTTCAGTAAGCAACCACTTCTCACACACAGTCACGCTAACTAACTATGAGGATATCTTTCCTAAAGAGGCCTGTTTATATACTCCATTATTTTGGCTTTGTTGTTATCATTTTGAAAAGTAATCTCGTGATGTCAGGAGATAATGTAGCACAAATAAGATCAAATAAACAACCCAAGTTTAATTCACAGAGTGAACTTCAAGTGAAAAGAATGAAGTATTTCTTCTGATCTTACTAAAGACTACTCCATAATATATGTTCCCAAATCCCAGCAGCACAGGCATTATGTATCTTGAATTCTAGACTGTTCAAGATACACAACAGCGCAACAAAATTAGCACAAAACTGGACCCTGACAAGCCAGGAGTAGTAGCAGAATAAAATCAGAGCACAGATCAATTATAAAATTATACATGAACTGGAAGATACAATAATATATGGAGCCCCAGCTGCATTTAATGCCCTATTGAATTATTGACTGAACCTAACTTGCTTTTGAGGTTCTATTCTATATAATGTTTTCCATTTTAACAAGAAAAGCGTTGAACTACTTAACCATCAAAAACAAACACAAAGTCATCCCATCCAGTATCAAGAGGAAATTGAAATAAGACACATACTTCAATTACTTCCAGCCAAATGTATAGGAATATACATGTAAAATAAAAACTGTCAAATGATGAGACTCTATTGGGGAGTAAAACTTACCCTTCAAACAGCCAGCCCTTGTTCCCTAGCTTTCTTCAACCATTTCAACGTACTTTCCAATGTAGAATAGGCAGCAGCATCAGTCAAACTTTTACTCTCAACAGCATAATCAAAAACCTCATACGCCTCTGCAACTCTGCCTTCTCTACATAATCCTCTCAAACAAGTAGCATAAGAAGAAGTCTCAAGAATCACACCTCCGGCTTTCATAGCGCCAAACAATTCCATCCCTTTATCCAACAACCTTGATTTACACAATCCATTTAGCAATGTATTATAGGTGCACGCATTCGGGCTACACCCTTTACCTTCCATCTCAAGAAGCAATCTCATAGCGCCCATTGCATCTCCTTCTCTACACAAACCATTCATCAACGATGTATAAGTAACCGCATCAGGTGTATAACCCACTTCTTCCATAACTTCCAAATACTTTCTAGCCTCCTTAACTCTTCCAGTTTTTGACAACCCAAAAATAAGTGTATTATACGTCACAATATCAGGTTCAACCCCTTCCTCTTTCATCTTCTTATAAACCTTGACAACTTCATTACCAAGGCTCAAATTACAATACCCTTTCATGATGGTATTATAAACATAACAATCAGGCTTAAAACCATTCTCACTTAGCTCACTCAACAACCGGGTAGCCTCACGAACATTCTTACTATTACACACATTATCAATCAATATAGTATACGTAACCAAATCCGGTTTCAGCCCAAGTGAATGCCGTAACTCATCAATCACCCTATAAACCATACTCATTGACCTATTCTTACACAAATGCTTAACAAGAAAATTATAAGTATAATAATCAGGGGTCACGGAATTCTTACAATGCAGCTCATTGATAAACTTCACAGCATCGTCGTCATACCCGGACCGACAAAGCGTCCGAACAGCAATATCAACGGTAACCGGATCCGGGTGAAACCCATGAGAAGCCATAAAATCAACAGCTTGTGAAACATGAGAAAGAGGGGAATCAACGGTTTTTGAATTACACGACTGAGAAATCAAAATGTGGAAGGAAGAACGATCAGGGGAAAAACAAGGTAGGGTTTTAACCATATGATTGAGTAAAGAGAAAGAATCATGCAAAGGGGCAATTGAAGAATAAGATTGAAGAAGGGAGTTGTGAAATTGAAGATCAATTGGGGTTTTAGGGTTTGAAATTAAGGAATTGATTAAGGTTTTCGCCTCGGAAAGATTAGGGGAACTGATTGGAGAAGATGAATTAGGGTTTAAGGAGGGTTTAAGCCCTTTTGAGGGTAAAATTGATTTGGGTTTATTGGTGTTGCGAGAGAAATAGGAGGGTTTGGAGGGTTGATTTTGAGGTGGATTTTTGAGAAGTTGGGTTGCTGTTGATCGGAGGGTTGCCGGAATTTTACCCATTTTTCTGGGTTTTCTCTGGAAATGGATGGTTTCCTTCCTTTGCTCAAATTTGCTTCGGCATAATAATGGCCTCGACTTTCCTTTTGCTTTGTTTCAATTTTACTCCTTTCCAAGGGACCTCCATTTTCTACCGAGTAACAGTTTGATCTGGTGGTAAGATTTTTATCTCACTTGTAGAAGACTAGAAGTATTTTGATATAGGAATTGTCTTACCCTTCGACTCCACTCCTAAAGTTTATCTTGCTAACCCTATCTCACTAACCCAAGCCAGGCTCTTCTCCTTACTAAAAAAAAAAAAGGGGGAGCCTTATCTTCTCGCATTGTTAAACATGGGATATTTCTGTTTTTTTTTAAAAAAAAAAAAAACTTCCTATAGGAATTAAATTTCGTTAATGAGAGTTATACGACATCTACAATAGACAATTAACGATAATGAAAACAAATTTAACAAAATTAAAAAAGAATTAATCGGTGAAGAGTTTAAAAACCAAAATATATAGATATAACAATTCGGCACATTCTTGATTCGTAGTCTTATACAACTTTTTGAGTAGATTCGTCACCGCTTCATAACTCGATTATGAGAGAGAAAATTCGTGTGCTAATTTCGTAACCCAAATCCGAACAATAATCAATCGTAGCCCCGCACAACCATAGACCATATTAAGCACAATGAAAATTGTTTAGGGTAAAAACAATACCCTTAGTACGTGGTCCAATCCCATAGAGACATGTGGCTCAAATTAAAAAGCAACATGTGTCCCCATAGGAAGATGACACGTGTAAAAATGTTACATGAGCGCCTGAAAAAGAAAATAAAGGGTCTCCTTACATCAGGAGGCCCAAATCATGGGAAAGCCGCAAAACGCCGCCCCCTAAGACACGTATCCTCTCTCAATTGTGCCGCCAATCAGAGCGCATAATATTAGGGCAGGAATCCTAAGGGGCACAATTCTCCACCCCTATAAATACCCCAATCATTTATGATGGGAGAGGTGGATTGTGACATAACATTTAAGAGTACACTCAAGCTCCAACTTCTCTCTACTTTATCTCTCTAGCTTTTCTGATTTCCGGTTACTAACTTGACCATCGGAGGCAAATATTCTAGCAACGGGATATTCGTTCTTTTGCAGGTGTCCGAGCCCATCTATCCGAAGGAGCGCGACCAGTATCCCAAGGGAAATCCAAAAAACACCCAAAACATTTGGACCCGTTTGTGGGGATACTCGCCCGTTATGGCAATAGATGGTCAAGCACCTAACACCGACCCTGGCCCTGATCAGGACGGGCATGTAGAGAATAATCTAGTTGCAATAATCAATTCTAATGATCCTCTGACCGCCTCATTCCATGAGGTTGAGGATCCTCCGATGACTGTTGGTTCTCTCCAACTCGCCTTGAGCAAGCTCCGAAGAGAGCTTAAGAGCACTACTACAAATCCCTTACTTTCTAGACGATGTTGGGTCGACGTTGTGTATGTGGCGTCAACACAAAAATAAGTATCCACTTTTTTCCGACGCTATTCTGTGTCGAATTAGTTTCTCAACAAGGAAAAGCGTCGAAAATGTCTTATGACTTGCACGTGACTCAAAGGCAACCCACGACTTCTAAACAAAATAAGAAATTCGCCCTAGAAACCCCTCTCTCTCTCTCTTTCTCTCTCTCTCTCTCTCTTTCTCTCTATAACTTTCAGATCTGAAAACTTCATACACTCTACCTAATTGTTCATCACTATCCTTTATTCGTATACAATATCAGCTATCTTTTGAAACTGCCTGAGATTTAGCGAATTTGGGTCAAAGTCATATTAATTTTCTTCTGCTCCTTGTTATATTCATCAATTTATGGTAATCTCGTTATTTTTTCTTATCAATTTCCTTGCTTTTGTGCTGATTACTGAAATATCATTCAGATTTACTTAGTTATATTGAGTTATTGTGAAATTGCATTAAATTTTTAGTTATTATGTAGCTAGTAGTAGAAAGCCATTGTATTTAAATCTAGGGTTTAATTGTATCCCGTGTTAGGTGCAGGGGATTTATTGAGCGTTTAGTTAATTATTTATGGTTTCGGTCTAATTGAGAACTAATTGAGAATCTCAATTGTTGCAGAATTTCATTCGGTTTTGTTTTTCATATAATCGAACAAATGGAGTATTATAGTGGCGATTAATTGCTTAGGTTTTAGTTGTTAAATTAGCAATCTATTTGATATTAGTTATTTGTATAGCATCTGTATCTTAGCTTAGCTTGCATTATCACCACATGAATCATCTAATCACTAATTAGATATTAATTTTATTTTTCTCCCAAATTCTGAAAATTTTCGGTTTTTTTAATCTATTTTTTTTCCGGATCTTGCTATTCAAGTATTTGAATTGAAATTCAAAGGTAATCATTTATTGTTTGTCTTTTATCCTCTTTGTTTTCCTCTCATCCTCTTTGTTTTTCTCTCATCTTCCTACTTGATTTGCTGCTTGGTATGAGTAAATTGATTTGATACTTTTAGATAACTACTTCCTCTGTTTTCTTTTACTTGCAACACATCCCTAAAAAGGAAATGTCACAATATTTGCAACACACTATAAAAGGAAAGTTATTTTAGGGAAAAACAATACTATATCCCTTATTTAAAGCACATGGCCCACTAAATTACACTCCTAACAACCACTCATTTTAAAGCTTATTATATCATGTAAACCCCACCTTTCTTAATTACCGCGCTAAAGGGTGTGTTGCATCTAAAAGAAAACGGAGGAAGTATTTTTTTTTCACTAGCCTTTGTTGATTTCTCTATCTCTCTCTCTTTTTCTAAACTAGCTTCTCTCAAATATAAAAATTCCGCACTCATTAGATTTAGAAACACCTAGCCATATTCGAAGTTGCCTTCGCCCTTCGCCCTAGACGTAAAAGGTTTTAATTTCTGAGGGTTTGGTCCCAAATCTCTCTTTCAATTATTTAATTTAATTGTTTTTGTTTCTTATTTTCCTTGAAGTTACTAATGTGGGTATTTTGTTATTCGAAAGAGGTACGAGGCATCCAAGTAAGTACTTTTAATGGTTTAATTGATATTATGATATAGAAATCATGCTTAGATTTTTATTTTGATTCCTAGTATCATGTTAGGATGTTTTCCTTAATTTGATGTTTAGGGTGACAACAATAAATTCCTAGTATCATGTATAGGGTAACTTTAATACCAAGTATGATTAAAAGCATAATGCCTTTTATTTTCTTTCTAATATTCATGATTGTTAGTATCATGTTAGGGTTAAAGCTTTGATTTTTATTGTTTAGTGAAATGCTAGGGTTTGTTATTTATCTTGTTAGTATCATGCCTAGGATCTTGCTATTATTATGCTTTAACGTAATTATGATTATTTTATGATTTATGATTATAATTGTTATAATTATTGTTATGATATTTATTATTATTATTATTATTATTATTATTATTATTATAATCGTTATGATTATGTTGCTTGATATATATTTATTTTTTATTGCTTGATCACGCCTTTATGCATGTTTAAAGGGAATTTGTATTTGTAATCACGCTTAATAAGATAATTAATAATCTTGTTTAGGGTTAATTTGATTATAATTCAAGTGATCGCCAATAATAGAGTTATTTGTGCATTAATATTCAACCAACATAGATTAAACAGGTTACGGTAAACCTATTGATTGCATGTTAATCAGAAAGCGCACATGAATACGATAAGAATAAAGTAGAGGCCTATTATTAGGGCAGGTTCAATCTCTTTTAGGTTGGATTTGTACCTTCATCCCTGAACCCTATTTGGTTCAAGACCTATTGGAGTTGACGATCTCTTGGATCGTTAAGGGGTGTAACCTTCAACCTGTGAATAGTTTACAAGTTCCTAAAACTTGTTGGCGACTCTTTTGCTCTATCTTCTTTACCTTTGGACACCACTGTACTTTAGTGTATGATCACAATGGGCTTCAAGCTAGGGGTTAACGCTTGAAATATTCCCTACAGTTTTTTGGCAACTCCACTGGGGAGGATTTCTATTTTAATTCCTGAAATTTATTTCGACAATGATTTAGAATGAGTGGATGAGACTGGAAACGTTCTAAGTATTTCATGTGCGTAATTTTGATTAACATTATTGTCATATGCATAAAAAAGATCTCATTGGAAAGACCATCCGTAATGAGTTAAAACATAGGATTTTACACGTAGGAAATTTGAGGAATATCTTTCACAACTAGGACCGAAATAACACTGCGCGAAAACCGAAAAATTTTATCGAGCACAGAAAGCTGCTGAGGCATGTAGGAATTAGCGTCAGCGAACAGAGTATTAGCGCCAGAATTTTAACTGTAGCGCCAGAATACAGTTCTGTCGCCAGGCGCTACAGCTAAAACCTGGCGCTAGGCGCTACAGCTAAAACCTGGCGCCAATCTCTGTTTGCTGGTGCCAAATTCTTCCAATACCGAGCCAGAAATATGCGTTCTAATTTCGACCAGTTTTTCGCATTGTTTGCTCGATCCTACTTCCTGATTAAGTTTTTCTCACTTTTATGAAACCCATATGTGTTCTACATATGGACATAACCCCCTGGGAATTCATGCTCCATCTACCTGATTGAACGCTCTGAGCAACAAAGGGTACATCCGAGATTGTTGAATTCACCAAACATGGAAGCGAGTTTTTTCTAAAACTCGCGGTGTCCCATCCACTCGCGCCAACCCTTCACGGTTAGGCTTCCGCGCAGTGCATCTGGACAATTAACCATGGACCCTCTACTGACTAACCCATATCCCGAACTTTAGAGAACTAGAGCCATGGTTAGGTTGCAAACTCATTGCATCATATCGTGCCTACTTGACTAATTGTGCATTATTTGTTGTGCATATACTATGCTTTCTTAACCCTTTGTTGACTTGTGCTGAGATTAAATAAATTAATGAATGAAAGAACTTTGCCTAATTAATTATCTAATTAATTAATTTGAGTAAATAAAGTCTAATATTTTAACCAGAATTGACCTAGTACGACTTTTGGCATACCCTTGTTGATTAATAACACCGAAAATAGTCTCAGATCGAAGCTCCAGCAATGGCGCCAAAATTTGAACTGTAGCGCCACTCTGTGGAGTGTGGTGCCTGGCGACAGCTCTGTCGTCTTGTGCTACACTGCAAAGAGAGGCGCTAGTCCTGTCGTTTTGACGACAGTTCAGATTATTGATTAAGTCATCACTGTGTGTCTAACTACCCAGTTTGCTAATTAATTTGGTTAAAAAT